GTGTTGCACCAATGCAGTACACTCGACAATGGAATTTATTTGAGAGATTGTGGAATCTGCATCAGAGATTGAATGAAAGGCATTGCGAGGGAAGTATAGTGATGGGTTGTAAGGGACACAGTCCTTCCACCTCTTGGAGACATAGAGGCAGGCAACAACATCTCGAGCATTACTTATGTGATAGGATTTGTTGGATAATGGCATCGGGTAACATATCCATAATCGTTGCAGAAAATTTCTACTACTTTCAACAAGCGAACCACACGAAAAACTTGAAAGCAGAGAAGAAGCCATTAAGGGGAACAAGTTCAAAAGAGCAGATTAGAAGCCATAACAAAACCCTCACAGATCCTCCTCTTAAACCCCCTCTTTCTTTCCTCAACCAGCAACCTTCAGAAACTGATCACTGCAAGAAATCAGGGAAGTCGGACTGCAGGAAACTAGGAAGCCAGACTGCTGCGGGGTACAGGCGCCAAATAAAACAGCACTGAGGACCTGCAAAAAATTTGGGAAGCAGGACTCCTGCAGCAAACTGGGGTAAGAAATGAGTGGGAAGGACCTGCAGAAAACAGGCAGACTGTGCTTGCAGGGAAGGCCAGCGACTGTGATGGAAACCCGGAAGGGCTGATCGGATGCAGAGCAGGCTAGCAGCTCGGAAAAACAGTCAGAGGAGACGGCTACTCAAGAAAAAATTATTGTTTTAAATATCAAAACAAGTGTCCCTCCCTTCCCGCACAGAGGATGACAGGGAGTCTGACAAATCTGGAAGGAACAGTTGTTAGTATACGAAATTACGCTTTGATACCATGTTGAACTTCAGAATAATGTGGAATAAAGCGGAGCAGAATTTCATTAATGTGAAAGAGGATATAAATAACCCTTACATAAATCCTAGAACAAAAAAGAAAATAAAATAGAAATAATATGAAAAGAAAGATATATCACCTAATATCTACAATTAATTAATTTATATTAATTATTTGAAGATAAATGAAACAACATAAAATAGGAAAGCCTAGAATAGGAAAGGAATAAATCCAATCCAAGAAAATAAAATTAAAATATAAAAAAAATAAAATTGTATAGGAAATAAATTTAATCCTCACAATTTCTAATATGAATAAATTATTTTCTAAGATAATTTCTAGCAAATAAGAATAAATTATTTCCTAATATAATTTCTAACAAATATTACTAATCAGAATCTCAATGAAGAGCATTTTCTGATGTATAAAAAAATATGCTATGAATGTTCATGGATAATTCATCATTTGAATGTGGTGACATTTTATCTGTACATGATTGGTTATGGACTATACTAAACAATAATACTACTGAACTGCTGCCATATTTGATAATTCATGAATATAAGATTTGTCTAATTTGATGCATCAGTTACACTTGTTATGGTAATATAACATTGTAAATCATGCCGCAATCATTAATCACATTATGAACATTGTCCTGTCATTTATCTTTTAATAAATAGAAATTAAGAATTAAATTGTTAGGTAACTCATTAATTTCCTCTAGCATATCATAACAAGTTGTTTGATAGATCATCATTATGAGAGTTGATTTACCATAAGTGGATAGTCTTTAAGCTTAAGTATCAATCAAAGGCAGTTCAATTAATTAAGATTGATTTATTAGGTTTTGTGTAGTTTCTTTTAGTTGTGGTAATGCTTTCCTTCTCATTAATAAGTTTTTTAGCTTTTATTGATAGATTGCTAACCCTTTCATTCATTAAATATAAATTTATTTCATATATCTCATGATTGTAGATTTGCACATGTATAATTCATATGCAACTTTCTAATACAAAATAGTTTCACTTGGCCTTATCTCCTAGGTTGTGTTTAACTAGCAAGTTAAGGTTACATATCATGTACTTCCAAAGTGTATCATCTTCGAAATATAAGATGTGAAGATAATATTCATTGAAATTTCTAGGACATTGTAGATTTTACATGTAACTCTTAAATAGAAAAACTCACTTCTACTTTGTCAAATATTGTACAAAATAATATTTGTTCAAGCTCTAAATCAATATTTGCAATTTTATGCAACTTTTTTTGGTGGGTTTCATCCTTGATCTAAACATTTTATGGTTGCTTAATTTGTATTTTTTTTACTGCATTTAGTTCTTTTTGAACTCTAAAATTTTTATAGTTATCAATGTAGTTCCAAATTTAAGCTTCTAGTGAGAAGGCAAATTGATGTAGATCAAAGGATCTATAATCATCACTAAGAAACAAAATTCTTGTGTTGCGTTATTTTTTGCTATTTTAAGCCAACTGAGTTAGTTGGAGTCTAAAATAAAGCCTTATTAATTAGATGCCCTTATATATAAAAAATATATATATGAAAAATTTGAAATAATATTTATCAAAGCATCTATGCTAATACAAAATTAAAAATTAATATGAAATAATATATACATACACACACACAGATATATATATATATATATATATATATTAAATTAGTTCCCTTCCATGGATAAAATACATCTAAAAAATCCTAGCAAAAAATTGATGCCCTTGGAAATGGTCGAATAAGCAAATATGATGAAACATATGTCAAAGATTATAGGATTGTTTATTCAACAATTTTTTATCTTTGAGAACTTTTATTTATTGTGTTTCTTGGTCCTTTCTAGTTATTCGGAATTGTAGCTCATCTTAATCCAACGTCTAAAATGTTAGGACTACGGCTCATTGATGAAAACTTTTTATCAACGAGATTGGGACTATAATTTATTATATAACATGCTTTTACTTTAAAATGTTATATGTAAATTCATAGTTTTTATGCAATCAACATTCTAAGATCTTAAGGGAATTAATTCATAACATTTTAGGTGCTGCATATGAAATTTCAAATTATCTTTTGTTGCCTTTAAAATGTAGAACAACCAAAGCTAATGGGATAAGAATCACATGTCTAGTCCGATAAAAGATTGTTTCATGAAAAAGACAAATAAAGTGGCCTTCACACAAATAAAAAAGTCTTAGAAGGTTACATTACTACATATGTACTAAAAATTTAAAAAAATGGGAAAAAAATTAAGGGGAAGACTACTTATAGAAGGCTAAGAAGACAAATAGTTCTTTCATATGAACAAATATGCAAAAAAATGCTCATAAAAGAGAAAGATCTCCCAAAGAGATGCACTTACTTAACAAGATTTTGAGTGTTAATCATAATCAATTGGTATCTTGACCTTCATTCACTATACCATTCCTAAATACATCGAGTTTATATTCCCTTTTTGGTTAACAAAGTGGGTGAGTTGAGGTGATTCCTAAAATATATGCATTTGTAAGGAAAATTAATCATCCAATTAATCATATAGCAAAAAACTAATCTATCATAGGTTAAAAACCACAGCTTAATAGCTTGAGTATGTTTGATAATATGAGTGTGATAAGGATGTGCAAACGATAACTCTCCTAGATAGAGGAGATTAATCACAAATTAAATAGATTTGGAATCAAGGAAATAACTATACATAGAGAGGAAATGATCGAATTAGGAATATTATGGTGTATCATCTACGGAAATTTTGTAAAAAAAAACTGTTGAGTTGTTTGAGTATGCATATTAGAGGATAGAAGATGTGAATATAAGAAAGGATAGAATTAGTGAAATGCATATGGAGCATTGTAGACCAAGAAAAACTTGGTCATTACAATAACAACAAGAAGAAGCCTTTATCCCACTATGTAGAGTCGGCTACATGAATCCTTTCACTCCATTGTGTCCTATTGAGTGTCAAATTTTTATTTAATTATAATATATTAAGATCATTTTTTATGCAATATGTTGTCATTCTTAACATGAGTCAAATCTAAAATATCTACTCTCCTAATCGAATTATCAAATGGCCGACATTTAATGTGACCAAATCATCTAAGAACACTCTCTAATCTTGTCCGCCAATAGAGCTACACCAACCCTATCAAGAATATATTCATTTTGCATTTTATCTCTAAGAGTTACGGCACTCATACACCTAAGCATTCTCATCTCAGCAACACTTAGCTTTGTTTTATGCTTCCCTTTTAAAGGCCAACATTCCGCGGCATAGAGCATTGCAGGTCTCACCATCATCATATGAAATTTTCCTTTCACTCTAAGTGGTACTTTTCTTTTACACAATAGGCCCGAAGCATTCTATCCAACTTGATTTCTACTAATAAGATCTCCATCTATATCACCATCACTTTGAACAATAGACCTGAGTAAAATGTTTACACCTTTTAATGATTTGATCACCCACAATTGCAACTCTACCACTAGAGCTTCTATTACTAAAATTACATTCCATGTATTCAGTTTTAGTTCTACTCAAACGAAGGCCTTTAGACTAAACAAATTCGTCATTGATTGTTAAATAAACTTGAATTAGCTGTAGATAACGCAAATCATGCCGAATATAAATATAAGGACAAGGATTCATCAAATTAAATCGACATAATAGGGACAAAGCTAATGATGATGATTAGAGAAGATAAAGCTTTATTCAGGGTGGCAGCTTGTGCATGAAGCCACGTAATGCAAAACAACAACACTTGCGCTGCAGGTATACGCATTATGCACCCAAGGGGATAGGTGGGAAACCTATGGCCTTATGTAAAATCATTTAACGAAAACATGGCAGTTTAATAATCATTACAGACTGAAACGCAATGAACCAAAATATACACACAACACAAAGCTTTTTTCATAGTACATGCATTCTCCATTATTCAAATTCAATATCCACCTCTAGTTTACCCCTTTTAGTCCCATCCTTAATCATTCTTCCATGATTTATATGCACATTGGACCAACTTAGATAAGCACAACTAAGACTGGAGAAAAACGAAACAGCCTGAGCGCATGCTGACCACATCAATCAATAAGCAAATCAATGGTTTTATTTATCCTGCAAGCAATGCTAAGACCCAGCCTCCAAGGATGAACAATTTAAGAAATGCGGAAGACAAACCTGCCTTGTAGAGAAGGGCCTGAGCGATGTTCTTGACGTGCCAGGTGGACCTGCCGGTGGCGATGACTATGTGGTCAGTGCAGTTACATTGGTCGCCCACGTGTATCACCCTCACATCGTCCGCCTTGACGTCCCTGAGGACCTTTTGCACCTCTTCCAGCTCCAGTGATCCCCGTTTATTCCGGGTCGATGCTGTAGATAAAAACCCTAGCCGATTCCATAAAAATTCGCGACGATTGCAGAGCCCTGCAGGAAAAAAGCGCCGAAATGTTCCGAGCATCGAGAACGGCAGCAAAATATGAAGTAAACCTATGACGAAAGCCTAATCCAGCGCTCGCCTATCTGTGCGAACTTGTCGAAGAACTTCATCATCACAATTCTCTTCGATTTTTCTTTTTTTTTTTAATTTTTACTTTAAGAATAATCTAAACTATTTAATAAAATATTTTAATCACTTAAATTTTAAATATTATATTTCAACCCCTCAAAATTTTAAATATAATATTTTAACCACTCAGAGATTCACTCAAAAGCCTAAAATAATATGTAAAGGAGGAAAAATTATTCTATATGTGCAATGCATGGAAATCTGTATGCGGTAGCCAATTAGAAAATGCCACAGGAATCTGGCCCCACTAACGTAAAATATGTAAATTCCTTATTTTTAACTCCTGCGGCAGACCCGACCCTACTTTTTTTGAAAAATGAAAAGCATAAAGACTTCCCCCACTTTATTTTCGCACTTTAGGGTTTGGAGCTGCTGAAATGGATTGTTCTCTCGTTGAGGACAACGACAACGACTTCCAAATCCAAGTGAGTTTAGCTTCGCTCAGAATGTTTTCGACGAAGACAACAACAACGACTTCCAGATCCAAGTGAGTTTAGTTTCGCTAAGAATGTTTTTTTTTTATCTTGAAGACATTGTTGTGGTTTTAGGGTTCAATGGTTTGTGCGAGTTTTATTTTTTGATTTAATGGATAGTTGTGGCATTTGTCTGAGTTTATCGGATGTTTAATAAGTTGATTTAATAGTTACTTTAGTTGTTTATCGAAGGGATACTTCTGGCATTTGTCTCATTACTTGTGTCTAACCAGTTGTTTCTCTGATTTATCGAGTGTTACTTTAGTGATTTTCAAGATATTCGAAGTTGTTGTCGTTGTAACTGTTTATGTTATGCTGGAATTTAGTCTGGGATAATCGTTTTAAGTGTTATCGCGGTATATCTTGGCAGTATTCTCATGTTTTTTTTTGTTAATGAGGGATATTGGTGTTATTGTGGGTCTATTGTGGTATTATTATGGTTTTATTGTTGTGTCATTGTACTATTGAAGACAATTTTATCATTGTGTTTTTGTGGTTTTATTGTTGTGTGATTATGATTTTATTGTTATTGTTGTTTTAGTAGACGCACTTGTTTTACTATAGTGTTCGTATTATGAAAATTTATTGAAAATATTATGAAAATTTATTTCTCTTTAGAGCATTGCATTTCTATAACTTAAATCATTGCATGCAGGAAAGGAGTAACAAGGATGAACAATCCAAGATTGGTTTTTTAAATTATTTGATACAAATTTATGGGCAATGAGATCAGAGTTATTTAACGACTCATTGAGGTCTTTGTTAGAATCATGAAGAAGCGAAAAATTGCAATATGTGTAATATTCATTTTAGTGGAAGGGAGTGTTCCTTGATTGCTAGGAAGAAATGAGATGGAGTTATTTAGTGATTCAGCTAACCTTGAAAGATAAGCAGTCGAAAAATCATTCACATCAATGATCAAAGGTTGATTAAGAGGAAGTTTCAGGTAGTTCGCACATCTAAAGTTGAGGTAGTTATAAAATCTGGTGTCAATGGCGAAGATGTGATTTGTATCAAGTAAGTCGTAATGGGTTTGCTAAATTATGGAAATATAATAAAATGTAATTGTAAGTTATGATGTTCTGGACTTCTTAAGTCTCATGTGGTGTTCTGTCAGGTGAACCTGTTGGAACACTAGTCACATGAGACTTAAGAAGTCCAGAACATCATAACTTACAATAACATTTTAGTCTGTTTCCACAATTTAGCAAACTCATTACCCTGAATTACCAATACAAATCACATCATCGGCATTGCCATCATATTATATAACTCCATCAACTTTAGATGTGCGAATAGCATAAACTTCCTCTTAATCAACCTTTGATCATTGATGTGAATAATTTTTCGACTACTTATCTTTCAAGATTATCTGAATCACTAAATAACTCAATCTCATTGCCTTCGAGCAATCAAGGAACTCTCCCTTCTAATAAAATGAATATTACAGATGTTGCAATTTTCTACTTCTTCACTGATTCTAACCATGCCCTCAATGAGTCGTTAAATAACTCTAATCTCATTGCCCACAAATTTGACCAACAGAGTTGGAGCTGAATCTACAAACCAATGAACCGACCTCCCCTTTCCCGCATATTATTGATGTTTATTCGACTGTCATAAATGTATGAAACAGTGATTACTGTTCTATGTTTCATTATGTTTATTCGACCGTCTGTAATTTTGTGGTATTATTAGTGAATTATTCGAGTCTTATTGCTCTATGTTTCGTTATGTAGTATTATTGTTTTATTGCAAAGTGATTAGAGTGTTATTAATATTTCTGTTTATTAACATCGCGGTGATGTATTAGTATGGTTGTATTATGGTATTATTTGGGTCTTATTGTGGTGGCATTGATGTTCTTAGCTCCGCTGTATTTTTGTTGTGCACTGTGGTTTTATTGTGGTTTTATTATTGCATTATTATGTATTTATTAAGTCAAGTATTAGTATAGTTGTATTATGGTAACATTCGAGTGTTCCTTGAAATTTAAAAATGCTTTTATCATGTAGGACCCGACTTTACTCCCGCCCGAGCGCTCCGAATAAATTGGTCAGAAATAGAATACGAAATGCTTATCGAAAAAAAACTTCGGAGGAAATCCGACAGGTGCACCACCTCTTTTGTCATTCATCGTCTGTTTAGGGTTTTGAGACTCCGTTCGCCGGTCGAAGTAAATTCGCCACTTCACCGCTACAGTTCAGCTTATGAAGATGGAAGCCAAGCCTTCTGAGATGGAAACTCAAGAAAACCCTATGACAGTGGAAGCCAAAGAGCCATTAAGAATGGAAACCGATAATGAGCCATCGAGAATGGAGTCCAATGAATAGAAGAAGAAAAAAACCGATGACCATAAGAAGAAGGTTATTGAAGAGAGTTCCTCCAGGTAATATTTTATTGTTCCTCCAGGTAATAGTTATTATTACAGTGATAAAATGAAGTTCTTTTAAATAAAATGCAGTTCTTTTAATTAAAATGCAGTTCTATAAAAAACCTGATTAATATGAATAATAAAGGCAAAATAAAACCGTAATAATTCTATAATACTAGTTAAACAGTTAATACCATAATATAACCGAAATATAACTGTAATGATACCGTAATAATATCATAATAATACAAGAATAATACCATCAAAATATAAAATTTATAATACCGTAATATAACCGTGATAATACCATAGTACTACGTGAATAATATAACCAAAATATAACCATAATAATACCGTAATAATACCATAATAATACAATCATACATGAATAACACCTTAATAATGACATTGAAATTTAAGGTTATAACACTTGTTATTTGTTGCATTATATTATTTTTGTAGGTTTGTGAACCCAAGATTAATGAGTTGTAGATGTCGACCATCTGTAGTGAGAGATGTGATGGATAAGGTCAAGCATTCAATATCTGAGGACACGAGAAATGAGATTAGAGCAATGAATGTTGAGCAGTTCTTGGAGCTCCCTCCTTATCCTCAAGAGAATGTCTTAACACTACAATTTTTGCAATGTTGGTAACATGATAAAATGGTTTTCAAAATTGGTGGGAAAGAGCTAAGACTGTTGCCCGATGAAATTGCCCTCCTAATTGGCATGTCAAATAGAGATGTAGTGTCAAAGTGGAGTAAATTTCCAATTTGTAGTGTGGATGCCCAACAAACAAAGAACAATCTATTGGAATTCGCAAGAGGAGGGCCTTCTACCCCTTTTGCTAAATTGTTTATAAAATTTTTGTTATCAAATTTATTTTTTCCTCCAGTAATTTTAGTGTACCTGAAGGACTTAACAACTTTGGGAAGAACATTCAGAATATTGCCTCATTTAATTGGTCGGTTGCGCTTTGTGATTTCTTTATAGAGCAAATTAATGCAGTGTCCATCAAATTATTGTGGAACCAGCCTATTGGATACATTAATGGTTTTCTTTATTTGTTTATGGTCAGTATATAGTATAAGTTGAATATTGTTATTGTTTATTAATTATCTTTTATGCTTTTATGCAATTCTGGTTTTTTTAGCATACATCTGTGGTAATTCCTACTGATGCTGAGGCCAGACCCAGAATATTGAGATGGCCAACAACTGTTATCTTGAACTCCTCACAGATAGATGTAGCGTTTAAAAAGCTAACCACTGAACAGGTCAGTCATTTTCACTGTTGTTTAATAATTTATTTCTGTACTAGTGATTAAGGTATTTTTATCCTGAAACAAATTGTAGGTCAATGATAAATTTTTGGATCTGAAAGAGGAGGAACTCAATTTGCTGGCCAATATAGATGAGGGACTACCCAGTCCAGCGCCAAATATACATTTTCAAAACCATCAGCCTAAAGTTAGAGCATAACCTCCTGTATCATTTGATATGGGGTCATTGGTCTCAGGGGAGACTGCCCCTGAACCAATTCACAATGTAATGAATAAGAACCTTGAATTAATAATTGATATGATCAAAGGATAGGAGAAATGGTTCAAGGAGTTCCAAGGGACTCTTAATACAATAACTGTTGGAGTTTTGGCTCAGCAAGACCAAATGTTTATATTGCAGAATAAAATTGATAAAAATGAAAAAACGGAGTTGATCAGGCAGAGTACTAGAGGAAGAATATGCCCATCCCCCCTCCACTCCTGTTGTAATCCCACATGCTGATGAGGAACATGCCCAGCCCCCCTCCCCTCCTCTTGTTATCCCACATGCTGATGAGGAATCTTCCCAGCCCCCCTTCCCTCCTGTTGGAATCCCACATGCTTATGAGGAATCTGTCCATCCCCCTATCCTCCTGTTGGAATCCCGCATGTTGAGGAGCAATATGCCCAGCCTCCTTCCCTCCCTCCCCCTATTAAACATCTTCTGTCGAACAAGGCACTACTGAAGAAAGGGGTTTACAGGAAGAATTCGCAACTGTTGGAATGCCCACCCAAGTCACACAGTTGATTTCCAGCTTATTACATAGGGTTAAGGACCGATGCAGTCGTAAGAAAAATGTTGTGAGCTCCACTTTCACTCTTTTTGAA